CCGGGGCTCCAAAGTGTGAATTCCGCCTGGCTCGCGCCGCCGGCGGAGTGAAGTCAGGCTCCGGGGGAGGGGTGGGGCCGCGCTCTGGCGGTGGTGGCCCGTAGTGCTTGTTGGTCCCGTGCCCCGCGCACTCTGGGTCTGGCTGCTGGTTCTCGTCGTCTTTTCTTGCACCGACCGCTTTGCTCCGTCCTCGCTCCGTTCCCGCGCTGCTAGCCCCGGACCCGCTCCTCTCGGCCGAGGAGCCCTGGGGCAGCGAGGTTTCTCCCGACTTTGCTGGTGCTGCCCGCTCTTGCACCCAGTCCACCGTCGCCCGGAGCGGGGGGCGCGCGGGTCCTCCTAACGCGCCTCGGCCGGCGCAACGACTTCCCGCCGGCGGCCTGGGCGGAGAGCTGGGGTGGGGGAAGCGTGAGCGCAGCTTCCCGGCCCGGGCCAGGCACCCGCTCGCCCGGTCCCTGGAAGTATGTTACCAGCTGCCGGTGCTGCCCCTGGACAGGCCGGTCCCCCAGCACGTCCTCAGCCGCCGAGGAGCCATCAGCTTCAGCTCCAGCTCTGCACTCTTCGGCTGTCCCAATCCCCGCCAGCTCTCACAGGTAATCGTCGCCGCCGGAGGCCCGCTCTGGGGGGCTTCTCTTTTGTTTCACCGGCTTCGCTTCTGCGACACCCCAAGTGTTCACTGCTCACCCTAGCCCCAGCATTGTCCATTGTTTGGGGATTTCTAGGCTGACTCCTTGGGTCCAGTGCCTTTCTTTTGATCCTTGTGCGGTCCACTCTCAGCGCTGCCTGCTGAGACCCCCTCTCCTTCCCACTTCAGGCTTTGGGAGTTCTTCAAACCCCCAACAGGCCATCACCCTCCGTGCCCAGCGGTTTAACCCTCAGGAGTGACTTAGTTCTCATTTTCTGGACGTCTCCGTCTGGAGGTTGGGTCCCTCTTCCTCACCTGTGGCCCCCGAGCACACCTGTTCATCCCCGGCTCCCCAACACACCTGTCTCCCCCTTTTCCCAGCCACGCACCTGCGCCAGTTTTGTCCCTCTCTTCCCCCAAGCTCCCGCGTGTTGTGCTTCTGCGGTCCTGCGGTTCTTTCTGAACAATAGGCCTACGTGCCCCATTGAGGTTTTATCCCCAGCCCCTTCATTTCTGTGGCTGGGTCTTCAGTGGTATTAGAGGAACAAGTCTGGAAAGTTGATTGCCAGAAATCAGTTTTGTTTTTAATTTGGTAAGGGGAGAAACTAGAGTAAGCACTTATAGAAAGACTATTTTGAATGGTCCAATGCCGGTTGCTCCTGAGAATTTCTGTTCTTTTTATGATGATGCCGGTGGCCCAACACCTTAGTTCTGGCCAATTTTGATCACCAGATTTAAGATAGGGAGACAAAAACAATTTTGTTTTGTTTACATTTGAACCGATTGCCCTCACTTTCTGCTGTCAGAAGTTATTTGTCATAATCACTTTTTATCAAATATATTTTTCCTACAGGTTAATATTGTTTTCTTCTATGGGAAATTATTTTTCTTTCTCCAATTGTAAGTATCTTGAAGAAGGTCTGTATATTTTTAACAGGAAGCATGGACAGCACCTGATAGATTTTGCTTATAATAGATGGTCAGTAAATATTTATTTGCCATTTGCTTCTTTCCTAATTGTTTATAATGAGGGCAAGAGCTTATTTTTGGGTTTTTCTCTGAGTCCTTTTTATTTTAAACCAGACTTCTTTCACAGCACAAGTGGTATGCTAATGAGATCAGAACAGATTTGTGAAAATTACTATACTAGTGATATTTAAAATAATACTGCATGTTTATTTTGAAGGTTAGATCTGCCTTAAATTTAAGGGCGCCTTAAAGTAGTTTTGGTTCCAGGATTAATGTTGAAGAAATATAAAAGGTTTTGAATAGTAGTAATGAAGGGTTTTTTAGTGATGGTAGCTTTTCACTTCTAAATACGTTACTTCCTGAGGTCAGCAGGCACATGACTGGTACCCATTTTTAGTTCCATCTAAGTAATAAAGGCACTCACTGATCAATTACAGAATTATAAAATATGCATAAAGTTCTCATGCTCCCTGAGGAGAAAATGAATGAGATAGAAGATTCCAAGGGGATTTAAATAAGGGTGATGCCAGGGGTTTTACCTGATGCCCTAATTAATCCTTGGAGACCAGTTTTAAGCTCCACTCATCTTGACTCATTTCCTAGCCTTAGGTTTAAATAGGTAATGGAATTTAAAAAACAGAATTGTGGCAGAAAAGCAAATGTTGTAGAGCTACACCATATTTTACAAACTCTTAGAACTTTAAAAAAAATTCTAAATCCCAAAGTGAAGTATATAGGAACTTCTCAAAGTTTGGACACTTTTCTGAATGAACATTTTTTTTTTTTTGGATCAATATTGCTTCACATTACAGTGATGGTAAACTTACCGTAGAGCTACACCATATTTTACAAACTCTTAGAACTTTAAAAAAAATTCTAAATCCCAAAGTGAAGTATATAGGAACTTCTCAAAGTTTGGACACTTTTCTGAATGAACATTTTTTTTTTTTGGATCAATATTGCTTCACATTACAGTGATGGTAAACTTACCAGGATGCTAAAATGGGTGTATTTATTATTATCAAGACTTTGCATAGTACTTAATAATAAAGCATATGTTGATACTGATTTGTTTAGGGCTAGATGGGAGTTTGTAATAGAAAAAAAGAAGGTAGAAAACCTTGGAATCTTATTCAGAACACTATGAAATAAAGACTTGGGGGCTGGCCCCATAGCACAGTGTTTAAGGGAGCCAGATCCTACATGGTTCAGGCAGCTTTAGAAACATGTACATACATGCCCAAAGTCCTGACAGTGTGGGGAAATGAAAGAAAAAAAATATTTATATATATATATATATATAATTTTAAATATGTTTAAAACTAGCAGTCTTCATGTTCATCATAGTATGGGAACTCAGCCCGTAGTAGTTTCTCAGTAACTATTTGCTGGATGAGTGAATAGGTGAGGAAATCTGTAGCTGAGCATCAGATTTATATATGAAAACAATGTAAGGATATCAAGGTATAGCAATAACTCATTTTTCAGCTTATAAATGCAGACGTAATAGATCCAGGAAATAAGCAGAATGACTTATTTGAGTGACCGATAATAGATTGGGAGATCCTTTCCAAAGTTTATATGTTTTCGGAGCAGCAAATTTAAAGTGGGATGGGAGGCTGCTAGAGTCTCTTCACACAGATAGCAGCAAAAGTTGACAACTGACTCCCCAGCAGACAAGGATCTGAAGAAAAACTCAAAGCCAAACTGTTAAAAGTTACCCTGGGGACATTTGTTTGGGAGCTTGAATGTTGTACAACACAATAATTAATAGTCAAAATGTTTAGTAGAGTGTTTTTAAAAGCCAAAAGACTTGTACTTTTTTTTTTTTTTAGAGGAAGATTTTCATGCTTAATATTTTTGGTGGTGCTTACATGGATAAGAGTTCTCTGGAAAATAGTCATGTGGAACACTGGCTCTTTTAAGGATACCAAGTAAATGTGGAGTCCTTGTGGTTTTATATGAGGCTGTATACCACTTTTTCACATGGTTAACAAGAGTTTTTAAAATTACTTGAATAGTAAGGGTAATAAAGGAATCCTGATCTTCTAAACTTGGGATATTTATTGTTGATAGCTGAGTTTAAAGATTTTGGGGGGCCAGCAGATGGCGTAGCAGTTACATCGCTGAACTCCCACATGGCTGACCATGGTTCAAGTTCCAGATTTGATGGCTTGAAGCTCACACTGTGTATATGTGCCTGCATGTATGCCTTAGATCCTTTTCTTTCTGGGGCTGGCCTTGTAGCATAGCAGTTAAGCATCTTGTGTAGAGGGATCTGGATTTCACAGGGCTGACTATGGTTTGAATCCTTGCTTTGGAGGCGTGAAAAACATGCTGGGCCTATGCACATATACCCTGGATCCTGATGGGATACAGAAATGTAAGGAAAAAGAATTACAGCCAGGCTTTGTTGGAGGGTGTACTCTGCACCTCCCCCATACACATACTCCCATTTAAAAAATAATTGTATTTTGGAATGTAGTTCTTAATTGGCAAAAAATATTGTGAAGGCAAACATTGTGCCTTACTCACCACTGTATTCATGGTGTTTTGCATAGGTAGGTGCTTAATATTGATACATGTGGAAGTTGAGTTAATGCATTGATGGGCATGCCTCTTGGAGTTATTTTAGTCAGATTTCATATGCCCTGAAGACAAATCTTATTTGGGTTAGATATCTATTACAAATCTATGATACGTGTTATTGAACAAAATATTGGGATCTAACATGGCAACATGTTTTAATACCCAATAAGCTAAATTTGATTTCTACTTTAGCATCTATGCGGGGTTTCTCCCCTAAAGAAACTATTTCAAAAATATTACAGAATATTTATGAGCGAGGCTTCTTAGGCACTGAATTCCACATAGTCAACCATGGTTCGAGTCCTGGACCTGGTGGCTTGTTTTCTCACTTTCCCCTTCTCTTGCTCTCTGCTTCTCTGTGCTGAGTACAGGTGCCCTATAGCAAATTTAAATAATAATAATAATGTTAGTAAATTAAATAACTCTTAAAAAAAAGAATTAGTTACAAAAATCAGTCATTTCTCTCAATTTAACCAAATTTTCCTTTGTATCTTTGCATTACCTTCCTTAATTGTAGACATCTTTTCAGCTGTCGTTACTGAGTCTATTCTCTCTCGTTCTTAGTGTATGGTAAATTATCAAGGTCCTTGTGTGCCAGAATCGTTCAGATAAAAGTTGGTTCTTCTTCAAGAAGCTTACAGGATTGTGATGGGAAAAATGGAATGATGTATTTGTGGTGCGGTTCCTGTAATGTAGTTATCAAGGCGTAATGAGACTACAAGGAAAGCAAACCCAAGTTTCTGGTATAAATCGGGGAAAGCTTATTTGAGGCATAGGCCAAGGCGAAGGTTAAGCAGATGTTTCTAGACAACTAGCTGAATATAGGAGAGCTGGGAAGGGATGGCCCATGTGGTTAAAGAGATCAGTGCTGCACGGTTGAACTTACTGTGATGATGGAAGTGTCCTCTGGCGTCATAATCACTTGTCCTGTGTAGCTAGTGCACACCTGAAATGTGGTTAGGTGACTGAGGATGTGGATTTTTAAGTCTGTTTTATTTAAATAACTACATGTGGTTAGTGTCTACTGTTATTGACAGAGCAGCTGTATAGTCTTTCTCAGCAGTCATTAGAATGAGGCCATTTTCATTTGTCAGCAACACATTCTCCAAATGTTGAATATTGACGTTTCCAGGTTTTGTTGTCATATGCAAAACTTCATTTAATAATTTTCTTCATATTTGATGATACTATCTTATAAACATCTCGGTACTGTGGTAGATATATGGTGGCACCCTGAGTTTGCGTTAAATTGCAATAAGTGTGTACTTTCGGAAGTAGTTGATGCTCTTTGCATTTCCTTTCTTGTGGGGTTTCATTTGCAAATCCTGTGTTCATTCATATGGTCTTACATTATCTAACATCAGTTTGTAAATGTACATTATTCCAAATCACTGTGACCATGGTAGTTGTCTGTTCATAACTCTGCGTACACCAGAACATACAGGGCATAGTGTGGACAGTCATTGAGATTCCCCAAGGGAGTGGTAATATTTTAAGACTTTCCTGCCTACTTCCCAAACATTGGTTTTGTTAGGGCCTTGGTTTCATTTATCTCTGTTTTCAGAAATGCTTCATACTTTCATTTAAATTTAATACTACCATATTTTAGCTTTTAGTTTTGAGCTAAAATATATTATTTCAAATATATATGCTTAGATGTTAATGTAAGTCTGTAGTGTATTTGGAGTGGGAGTGTAGTTCTGATTGAGTACTTGCTAGTCCATGGATGTTGTCAGGAACACATTCAGTGTAAAGCATATGATTTGAACACCCAGATTTTTGCTGCTTTGTTACTATGCTCAGAGTCCCATCAGTTGTATATATTGCCTGTTCAGCAGTTATTTCTTAAACACAAACGTCCTACCAGAGGTAGAATATTAATGCCTTCACAGGAGTTAGAAAGGTAGGTAGTTCACAATGAGTGGAAGGAGGGAGAGGTACCAAGTTTCTTTGAGGCAGTTTGATAAAACTGTTAGTAAATTCAACTTTTTCTTTCTTTATTTCCTTCTCTCTTCCTATTAAAGGGACCAGAGCAGCTTCAGAAAATTGGGTTCTTTTCTGAGGATGGATAGAGGGACACATCTGGGTAGAGAACAGTTGAGAAAGGGAAGTGAACAAAGCTTTGGCTTCATTTGAACTTTTGTCTAGGATTATTAACAGTCTTTTACTTGGACTGAAGGCACCTAGTAAATTTAGATGATGGAGAAGCCTTTATTGCATGGAGATCCTCTTAAGGAATTTAATATTCTTGGTTTTATTAATTTTCTTTGTGTATCACATTTATTTACGTTTGTTTGTGTCATTTATTTATGTTTATTTGTGTTTATATAACATGTATTTCTAATTTTGTCTGAAGTCCCTTAACTAAAGGTCTTTTCAGTTCTAGACCTTCTTAAATTCCCTTTTGCCACTTGAAAAAACCTTAGCAGTTAATTTTGAATCTTCATATTTGAATAATTCCAAACTTTTTTATTCTGGCAATGAATTGCTCATCTTTTACAATTAACTTGAGAGAAACTTTAGAGTTTATTCTCTTCCACATTTATGTGGCATATTCGTACCTAAAAGTTAATATAGAATTTTTTTTTTTTTTAATTGTTAGAGAGTGCATGTGCTTGCCAGAAAGAGAAAGTACCCCCTGGTGGAGCATAGGTACACCAGTCTTTTTTCCCTCCATTTCTCATCCTGTCAGGATTTGGGGCACACATGGGCCCTGCAGGCTTTTCCAGCCCTTGGGGCTGGGATTCAAACTGTGGTGGGCCACGTGAGATCTGGCTTCATATGCACAGTATTTAACTGTTGTACTACCAGACCGTCCTCTTTGCTAATTTGTGTATTGTTGCCAAATATACTTTTAATAGGTTATTCACAAATAAGTAATACTTTTGCATGTTTGTATTCAGGTGTGAGCATTCATAAGGTCAGCGTATGAGAAAATGAAGAAAAACTGATTTTGCAGAAGAGCATTCTAAGCTTGAAGGGCTTTATTTTGGCTGCTGGTAGGTTCTTTTAAGGGACTGCAAATCATTGGTTTTGTGGTTGACATCAGAAGGGACTCCTACTTATAATTTTGAGTAGGAATTTTGATTACTGCTCCATGCCTCCACCTGCTGGTAGGGGTGGTGCTTCATTTTTCAAAAAGTTATGGCTAGAGGGAGGAGACCAAGACAGGTCAGGGCAGAATTTGGATAAGAAAACAAAGTATTAACTGGATTACTAAATTTCAGCAAAACTACTCTTTGGAGTTTTAAATAGAGTAGACTTTAGCTCAGGACCATATAAAGTAGTTGGCAAATAGTCTTAAGAAAGATGTAGTTGTCTTGCTTTGATAATAATAATTTCTCTTTTTGGAGAAACTCCTGTCATATACTTTGGAGTATTTAATCTTTACACAAACTCTGAGATAAGTGGTATTAGTCACATTTTTTATATTAAAAATACCTGAGTGATAAGCTCACCTTTCTTTAAAAATATATATATATATATTCTTGTGCAAGAGTTTTGGTTGGCCATACAGTTTCAGGCTTCCTTTGCCATGCTGCGGGGTCTACCCATGAGCTCTGAGATGTTGAGTCACTTGTCCTGAGGCAGCAGATGAACTTCAAAAAGGGCCTATTACGTTCCAGTGTCTTCACTTTTTATCACCTTCCTTTTCAGTGAACGTGAGTGGGATATAGTTAGAATTTTAGGTTTATGGATTACAGGTTTGTTGGCTGATGGATGTGGATAAGGAAAACAAATTTGATTATTTGAGGTGACTATTTAAAATGATAACTTTTTTTCTGGTCTTTCCAAATCATTTCCGGAATATTTTATTCTAGATGTCATATTCTAGGAAGACATAATTAAGCTAAATTATACTCTGGAGATAGTGACCAAGATGTTGTGAAGCTACTTTGTTTGATAAGTGACTGAGAAATGACAGATATTTACTCGGGAGGAAAAACAAAACAAAATAGATTTCAGTCAGCAGGGGTGGGGATAGAGGTGGAGAGGTTGTTGGTAAGAGATGATGATAGAACATTGCTGCCTTCCAAAATGTGGAAAACTACCATGAGAATGAGAGGATTCTTGATTGCTGTTCCCTGTTCCTTCTGTTTCAGGTCACACCGAATGCAGAGAAAATAGAAGCTTAAAGTTGTTGTTTGCCCAAGGTAGCATAACTATTAATAGGTGGTAAAAATTGGTTAAATTCTAAATCCCTCTTATTCCAAAGCCTTTTACTCATTCATTCTTTTCTTTTTACCACATGGGAAAAACATATTACCTCAGAGTGGAATGAGGAACAGTAGGGAAATGAAAAGAGAAATCCTGTGTAATCAAAGAAATGCATACTAAGGACTAGCAGATGGCATAATGGTTATATCCATGGACTCCCACGTAGTTGACTGTGGTTCGAGTCCCTGACGCGGTGGCTTAAACCTCACACTGGGCATGTGTGCATGTGTGCTCAGGATCCTGAGAGGAGAATGGAAGATAAGGGATTGCAGCATGGCCATCCCACAGGGGATGATTTCTCGCTTTCTTTCTCTCTATCTCTCTCTGTCTCTCTGGTGAGTGCATGGACCCTATAGCAGAAATCTCTTGTCAAAAAAAAAAAAAAGCCTACTAAAAGAATATACTTTTTTGCTTTCAGATTGACAAATTTTTTAAAAGTGAGTATATAATTTGAAGGTTACACTTAAAAAATTTGATAAGATTAAAAATTATAATTTTTAAAAAATGTAATTTGACAAGTGAGTAAAATAATACTTAGAAATTACCATTTTTGTGGGGGCAGCAGATGGTGTAGTGGTTAAGGCATTGGACTCCCACATGACTGATTGCAGTTTTGAGTTCCAGACCCAAAGGCTTTAAAATCATGCAGAGCGCATATTCACGTGTGCCCAAAATCCTGACAGGAGAGTGGAGAAGGGTGTATAGCATGGCCACCAACCTCCAGGGAGAGGGTGATTTCTAACTTTCACTCTCTGTTTCTTTTTTACAAGCACATGTGCCCTAAGGCAAAAATCTAAAAAAGCAAAAACAAAACAAACAATTTTTTTGAGAGGTTTTTTTTTTTTTGCTATAGGGCACGTGGGCTCGCCAGAAAGACAGAGAGACAGAGAGATAGAAAGTGAGAAATCACTCCCCAGGGAGGATGACCATGCTGCAATCCCTTCTCCTCCATTCTCCTCTTGGGATCTTGGGCACGCACACACACGCGCCTGGCTTGAGTTTAAGCTGTCGGTTCCAGGACTCGAACTGCTGTTGACTACATGGGAGTCCAGCGACATAGCCATTATGCTAACTGCTGGTCCTAAAACAAAAAAAATTTCACATGATCATTTACTTTAGAGAATCTATCCTCAGCTAATGCTAGAAAATGAGATAAAGATTAATCTTTAAGGATTGTAATCCTCTTTATCATTGTGGGAAGATTGGAAATAACAGATAACTTATGCATTGCTAAATAGAATATAGTATCTCTTTTCTTTTTAATGCCAGAGGATATGTGTGTGAGAAAGAGCACATGTACACCTGCATCCCAGTAGGGCCTGGTCATGTCATAATCCTTTTTCTTTTAATTCTCAGACAGATTGTAGGCATGCATGTACACACTCAGCATGAAGCTGACTGGGCGAGGATTGACAGCTAGTTGACCATGTGGGATCTGACTTTCTCTGCACAGTGCCTAACCATTGTACCATGCGTCTGACCCAGATTGTGTTATTTCTTATTACAGGGTGTAGTATTTTTTATTTTATTTATTTATGCAAGTATTAATTTATTTATTGGATTTTTTTTTCTTTTTCTCTTAAATTTGCTATAGAGTGCATGCACTTTGTTGGAGAGAGCGCGAAAGTGAGAGAGCATCTCCTAGAAGGATAACCATGCCACAATCCTCTCTCCATCCTCTTTCAGGATTCTGGGTGCACATGCATTGCTCCTTGTGTAACTTTAAAGCCACTGAGTCTGGAACTTGAACCACATGGTCAGCCATGTAGGATGGCCGCCTTAACCACTGTGCCACCTGACTGGCCTTGTTATCTCGATATTATGTACCCACTTAAATGCTGTGAAGAATTTAGGATATGTAATGACATAATATACAAATGGCTAAATAAATTTTAGTATTTTCATTTCTGTGTTGTACACTAATTAATTGCTTTGAAGAATATTTAATCATGTGAAGAAAATACTTACAGTATAATTAAGAAAAGAAAAAAGCTGTAGATGATTCCAGTTTTGTTTAAAAATAAGGACTGGATGATGGTGCAGTAGTAAAATGAAGAGCTCTTTTAGGTTGACCCACATGGGAAGGATCCAGGTTTGTGTCTGGAGACTTCTCTGAGTACACTGTCATGGGCGTGTCACATTGTGGTAATTCTTTCTGTATTTCAAACTTTTTTTGTTTTATGATCGGTGATCTTTGATGTTACTATTGTAATTGTTCTGGGGCACAATAAACTGCATCTGTACAAGACAGAATTTAATTTATATATGTTGTATGTGTTCTGATACTTAACCAGCCAGCTTTTCCTCTGTTTGTCTCCCTTTTCTTGGGCCTCCCTATTTCCCAATAAATGACAGTATTGAAACTAGGCAAGTTAACATCTCTACAGTAGCCTCCAAATGTTCAAGTGAATGGAAGAACTACATGTCTCTCACTTTCAGTCACAAGCTAGAAATTATTAAGCCTAAAGAAGGCATGTCGAAAGCCAAGATAGGCTGAAAGCTAGCTCTTGCAACAAACAGCTAAGTCACGAATGCAAAGAAAAAGTTCTTTTTTTTTTTGGAGAGGTTTTTCGCTATAGGGCACGTGTGCTCGCCAGACAGACAGAGAGAGACATAGAGACAGAAAGCGAGAAATCACCCCCCAGGGGAGATGGTCACGCCGCAATCCCTTCTCCTCCATTCTCCTCTCGGGATCTTGGGCACGCACGCACATGTGCCCGGTGTGAGTTTTAAGCCACCGGGTCCGGGACGCGAACCGTAGTCGACTACGTGGGAGTCCAGCGACATAGCCATTATGCTAACTGCTGGTTCCCCGAAAGAAAAAGTTCTTAAAGGAAATGAAAAGTACTACTCCAGAGACCACACAAATAATAGAAAGCAACATGCCTGTGTTGCTTATATGGAGAAGGTTTTACTGGTTTGGATAGATCAAATCAGCCACATTTCCTGAAGCCAAAGCCTAATCCAGAGCAAAGTGATCATTCTTTTCAATTCTATGAGGGCTGGAGAGGTCAGGAAGCTGCAGAAGAAAACTGTGCAGTTAGCAGAAGTGGGTTCATGAGGTTTAAGGAAACAAGCCATCTTTATAACGTAAAAACACAAGGAACATAAAAACGCAAGGTGAGGCAGCAAGTGCTGGTTAAAAGCTGCAGCAAATTTTCTGGAAGCGCTAGCTAAGATAATGATGAAACAACAAACTTTCAGTGTAGACAGAGCAGCCCTCTATTGGAAGAAGATGCTATCTAGGACTTTCATAGCTAGAGAGGAGACTCTAAGTTGAAGCTAGAGCTTATTTATCATTCTGAAAGTTCTGGAGTCCTTAAGAGTTATGCTTATCTACACTGCCTGTTTCCTATTAATTGAGCAATAAAGCCCAGAAGATAACACATTTATTTTAGAGCATGGTTTACTGAGTATTTTACACCCACTGTTGAGGCCTACTACTCCAAAGATTCTTTGCAGAATTTTACTGCTCATTGATAATGTACCTGGTTACCCAAGAGCTCTGACTTAGATGTTTAAGGAGATTAAGTTGTTTTCATGCCTGTTAACACAACTTTCATTCTACAGCCTGTAGATCAAGGAGTTCTTTTGACTTTGAAGTCTTAGTATTTAAGAAATGACTTCATATTTAAGAAATACATTTCATAAGCTGTAGCTACCATAGATAGTAATTGCTTTGAAAAGTACACTGAAACCTTCTGGAAAGGAGTCACTATTCTAGAGGCCATTAAGAGCATTTGTGATTTGTAGGAGGAGTTGAAAATACCAATATTAGAAGTTTAAAAGTTGCTTCCAGCTAATTTCAAGAGGTTCAAGACTTCAGTGGAGGAAGAAACTATTGACGAAGTGGAAATAGCAAGGGAACTAGAATTAGAAATGGAGTCTGAAGATGTTGCTGAATTGCTGCATTCTCATGATAAAACTTGCATGGATGAAGAGTTGCTTTTCATGTATGAGCAAAGGAAGTGGCTTCTCGAGATGGTGCTTGCTCATGGTGAAGATGCTATGTAATCATTGAAATGACAACAGGATTTAGACTATTACATATCCATAACTGATAAAGCAATGGCAAGGGTTCTGATTCCAGTTTTGAAAAGTTCTGTAGGTAAAATGCTATCAAACAGCACTGCATGATACAGAGGAATCTTTTATGCAAGGAAGAGTCTATTGATGTGGCAAACCTCATTGTCTTAGTTTAAGAAATTACCACAGCCACTCCAGTCTTTATCAGCCATTATCCTGATTAGTCAGCAGCCATCAACATCAAGGCAGTCTCAGCTCAAAAGAGTTTCACTTGCTGACAGCTCAGAAGATCATTGGCATTTTTTAGCAGTGATAAGATTTTTATGTATACACACGTATACTTTAAACATGCTACTAACACTTAATAGATTACAGTATGATGTAAATATAACATATGCACTGGGAAACCAAAAATTTATGCGACTTGCTTTATTGCAAAATTCACGTTATAATAGTAGTCTGGTATTGAACTGGAAATATGTCTGAGGTGTGCCTGTATATGTATGAATACATCTAAATCTTGACGATTACTCTAGTATAATGTAACATTGGCTATCTTTGGGTAGTATAATTTCTGGTAATTTTTACTCTCTTTGTACTTTGGTGTTTTGGTTTTTTTAACCAATAAATATTAACATTTTCCTGTAATCTAAAATCAACGAAGATAATTTTCGAAATCTCACTAAGAAAACCTTGTTTCTCTTAGTTAGAATTTTTAATTATGAAGAGACTAAAGTCTAGTTAATAATAATAGTAATAATAGTTAATAATTTAGTATGTGCACATTTATGGGTTGGAAGTGGGTTATTCACTGCTGTGTTCCTGTGTGCTAGGTACATCATAGGTGTTTAAAGGTGTAGTTTCTTAAAATGGAAATAGAGTTTTTTGTTTTTGTTTGTGTGTGTTTTTG